CGGAGCTGCTGGAACCCGCAATAAAATGTTCTTAAAGTTAAAAAAAAAAAAAATGTAATAAAACATTGACCTACATGATATGATCGGTCTGAATTCATATTCTATAGACAAATTTTAAGATTATTATTAAATCTGAATAAAATTAATGAAAATCCCCCCCATCACCGCCATTTACATTCAAATACAAAAACCCGACATTAACCTCCCTGGCGGTCTGATTTACTCAATATTTTTTCAATTTTTTACTTTTAAATTTCCCGCCTGTTCCACCCCCCTGCGACGCGGGCACTAGCAAGGGAAGGAACCCGGAAGAAGGATGCCGGCATCGGCCGGAGGACACAACAGGGCTCGTAGGGACAAGGTAAGTGATGCAGTGTAATCCTGAGTGTGGCTCGGGGTTACCGCTTTTGGTACTGAAAATTAACCCCGAGCCACACTCAGGATTACCGCCAGGAAAGTTAATGGCATTATATAAATGGCCAAAAGCTGTACTATACAAATATTACATGCATGATAACTGAGATTTTACAATTCTCCAATACATTACGATGGAGGTATCAGATGCTTTGCTGTTATACAAGAATATCAGGTCACGTCGGCTCTCAGCGCCTTCAGAAAACCACAAGGCCACATAGTAATGCATGGTGACCTTCTGGGTTATGTTGCACATGAAAGGAATCCAATCTATTATATTACATATATTTCTGTTTTAAAATTACATTGAAAAAAAAAAGTTCTCCTGTTTTAAGGCTCCTTTCACATTGTCCAATCAGGAGGGGATCCGTGCACGTGATATCCGTGTCTGTGCAGTTTTTAAGGAACTGACATTACCGAGCACATGTTAGCCTAGGGGCAGTCGGATCTAAAGGGACGGGCACCTGTTCACATCCGGTTACCCCCAATCCGCCACGATCAGGTTCGGCAAAACATACCCAAGATCCGTTTCTTTTTCCAGATCTGTCCGGAGCAAATGGACATGCGGTGGGCTTCTCATCAGTCAAGCTTTCACATTTTCTGCAGAAGACGTGTATCCAAACCTCTGTTTTTAACCTTAGTGTGAGACAAGTTTTTTTTACATGCCAGCTTGTGAGTGTGCCAGGAAAACGTTTTGCTGGGCTTCTGATCAGGTCGGCCCGTAAAACTGACAGGTGGACCTGAACGGAAAGCCATGTGAAAGGGGCCTAAAAACCTCTATCAAATATACATTGGAAATAAATGTACACGCTTTCCTGAATTGTTTCTTTTTACTTGGCAGCAGAGTATCTGCATGTCTTACATATGGGATCTTATTTTTTTCAGTCATCTGTATTTAAAAGATACCAGCCATAAGAGGAGCACAGGGGCTGAATAGGCTGACCCTTCTTCTGGAAATGCAGGCTGCCCAGCTGTCATGCTAAGGGCTGGTTCACACCACAAAAACAGTGTGTTCCAGAGCGGTCAGGATCTGGAATGCACTGCATCGCATTCCGGCCGGCTCTCTGCGTTCAGGGGCGGGAGGGGGTGTGGCGGTGCAATGAAGTAAATGGCACGGCAGCAACGACCCCACCCACACGTGTGGCACATTAGTGCCTGTGTTCAGGTCCAGTGCGATCTGCAAAAATGCTGATGTGCCACGCCTTCGGGTGACCGCTGTGGAACGCACTGTTTGTGGTGTGAATCAGCCCTAAGGCTGTAGCTTCAATAATAGTCAGTGACCTGGGAGAACTTTGCAAATACAAATGTTTTACTTACCTGATCTGCATACTTTTTGCAGGTCTGTGACTCAAAGGGTACTAAAGACAGAGCATAATAGCCAGGCAACTAGCCTAGCAGGTCAACCATGGCCACTACCATACTTCTCTCATGGCAAGTTTACTTTAAAATGGATTTCAACACTTTCAACTAGAAATCAGTAAAACAGATTGGATCCCTCATGGAGCTTTCTGTTGCTCTCACTAGGTCTGGAATTGCAAATGGCATCGGCAGCACCACCTTCTGGTGAAATATGGCATCACATGCCAACCATCTAACATAACAGACAAATGTACACAGCTGACTATTTAAAGTAGAGCTAAACTTACTTTACTTACCTTCACTCCAGTGGGACATCTACGACCTCCCTCGCCATGGCTGACATCACCCGGTCTTCATTCAAGTTTCCCATCTTCAGCCTTCTTGATTGGCTGGCCTTAGATGATGTAAATCCAACGTATGCACACAGGAGGTTATTCATCAAAATTGTATATTGAACTGTGCATGTGCAGCTCAATGTACAATCTTTAGAAACGTGTTAGCAGGCAGGTAAGAGACCTACAGAGACGTCTGCAATAAAAACCTCTGTGCTAGCAAATGTCTTTTCTCTTTCTATGCTTAAGTTCCACTTTAGGTAAGTGAGCAATACATCAAGTACACACTGTAGTAACCCAAAGCAGCTCTTTACTAAACCCCTTGCTAAAAGGTGCTAGACTTTGTACTTGTGTTTCTGGACCATTTCACTGGATAAGCCCAGCACAGTATAGCTTTCTTAAAACAGAAGGTGTTCAGATATCTCATTACATCACATATCCCAAAAATAAAAGGATCGTTCCTCATGTGAGGGCAGCGGGTGGAGCCAGGCAAATCATTATAGTGCACTGATGATGGCCAAAATAACGTGAAACAACTGTATGCAGTTTGGCTGTATAATTTAAGGCTATATTTGCTCTATACACAAGCAGTTCTGGATGTGCATCTGGCCAAAAGGGCATAAAGCAATGAGTTGCATGGCTCTATCCACTGTCCTGAAATGAGGAATAATACTCTTATTTTTGGGATATGTGAGGGAAAGACATGTGAATATCTCCCGTCTTAAAGTGGACTTTTACCCCCTTTCACTAAAAATCACATTCAGCATGCAGCTCTGCATCCTGATATCAAATCATCTTCCATTAGTTAAACAAACTTGCTTTTAATTTACTGACAAATAGAGGTCATCTACTTCCTGGTCATCTTTGGCACAAATGATGTAATGTGCCCAAGTGTTCCGGGAAGGTTACATCAGCAAAGCATTGCTCGGAATCTCACCTGTAATCTCATGAGATCTCAGGGAAAGGCATTTTACCTCCCCGAGATGATGTGCATGGTCGCATGTCCTAGTCACATGTGCCAGAGTTCCAGGAAGTAAAGGGAGATCTGGTATTCTGCCCTTAGTAAACATGACCTCTGTCAGAAGACTGGTAAATAAAAGAGCAATAAGGAATGCAAAGCCTGCAATTATCTAGAAGTGTGTGTTTGTAGATTGTCATTACTGAACATTTCTAAAAGGTGTGTTTGTTGTTATTTTTAAAGATATGGGTAACGTTCCCCCTTAAGAAGGCTTTAATATGCTATGCACTTACTAAAGTGGGGGCTTTAACCCCTTTGCTGTCAAAGTATTTTTTGCTTTTTTGCACATGTTACAATCCACATTTTAGGCTTGAAAAATACTTAAAACTCCGAGAGTTATACATTTCCTGAAAGCATAGACCCTATAGAATAAAATGGTGGCAGCTGCAAATTGTTACATCACATGATATTAGCACAACCTTTATCATTCTGTAAAACATAAAAGATGAGGATTTGCCGAGTAAATAGATACCCACAAGCTTAAAAGATGTGTGTGCCCGTAAAATGGCGTCAAAATACGGTACCCCAGATTGTCGTTAGGCGACACTTTAAAAGACTGTTTATAGTTAACCGTGCATATTGACCCTAGAATTATTGCTTTCACTCTGGCGTATGCTGTTATACCCAACAATCATCTTTTTCGTAGGTTGGCGCACCTGAGTTGTGTTTACGTTAGTATGCACGCGTTCGCGGGGGTGGGGGAGTTTAAAAATTTTGGGGGGGGTATTTTTACATTTTTTCTAATTCAACTTTATTTTAAAACATTTTTTTTTTTTACTTAAAGTATAAATAAACCCTGTTTTTTTTGCATACATCTACCCCTAGCAAGCAGTAGATATATGCAAAAAGGTTAAAAAGGTCTATGGACAGCGTGCACCCGCATGCAGACACCGTGGGACAGGAAGTGCCAGCAAGCAGAGAGGAGTCAGCGCTGGATAGGAGACCCGCAGCAGCGCTGGAGAGAAGGCTGAAAAGGACAGGAAACAAGAAGATCGGACTAAGAGACATAATTTGGCTCACAAGCCACCTATGTGATAGCAGATTAGTGGTGACAGGTTCTCTTTAAAATGTGACATTAGGGGTCTATTAGACCCTTCCTGTGACCTTTCCACTTCAAAGAAGCTATCCAAGTGCAGATCGCGCTTGAATTGCTTCCTCCCCAGCTTCTGTAGACAAAGTATGACAGCTGAGGAGCCAGAAGTGATGCAACCAGCTTCGCTTCCAGCTCCATTCAGCGGGGAGGAGATCAGCAAACAGATGTCCACCGACACCAGTTATGCTGGTGCCAGGCTCACAGAAGGGGCAACGGAGCCCAGGAAGCAAGGTGGGGGGGTGTCGGGTGGGATTACCCTTTCTACATGTCCCCCGGAAGCGATCTGGCGGCAGCTCAGCCCCCAGAATCTTTTCTAGTGTAAAGCCGACACTCGACTTTACACAGGTAAACAGAGTCTATAGCCGCTGGGAGTCTGTTTACAGGAGTCCGAAGCCAGCTCTGCAAGGGATACAGCACTGGCAGGAAAAAGGTTAATCCCTTCTCAACATAATCTGTCTTGTTATACTGTCCCATTGGTAAGCCTGTAAGAGAATCAAGGTGTATGAGCGGTCAACCTTTAGTCTGCCAGGCCCTTTGAACAATAGCAGGATAGGATGAAGAGCCCTTAGTATTACTACATAGACAGCTAAAGTAGATCGTTTTTTTTTTGTTTTTTTTTGTTTTTTTTATGTACACTACAAAAATTGCCTTTACTTGTTGGTTCGCTCCTAAAAAAAAAATGTCAACCCATTGCTGACAATTGCACACTAATATGTGTCCACTGCCTTAAGTAAACGCCATTTGATTAATTTGTTTTGGGTCAAATTCGCACTGTGTCACTGTGTTACTCTAGTAACAGAGAAGCAAACCGGTTGGTTGCATCACACTTAGGGTGATTCTCCATCCTGTTTGGCATCTCATTATTAGCTGACATTTTGCCTGATTTAGTCGTTTTCTTTGATTTCTTGGATGCCGATTTAGATCTACTCTGGAAATAGTCTGGGGGTAGAGCAGACATTACAATACCAACACAGTCCCGATATAACTTTTCCAGTGGTGGACATGGCTTGAAAATGTCTTCTGTAGTAGGCAACGTCTTCAGCCTCTGCACCAAATAATACACAAGAGGACCGCTGTATGATCTAGACAATGGGAGAGAAAGAAGGACATACATAACACTGTAACAGTATAGCAGCAGACAGCAACAAAAACTAAATAGAATTTAGAACCCCTACCTATTCTATCCAAGACACACAAAAAAAGGTTTTGACTGTCGATTAACAACTTTTATTTACTTTGGCAAACCAGCAGTTTCATATTGTACGTAATTCTTGCTGTTGATGATGATTATTACATAGACAACCTTACCCCATCTTTTGAGATAAATGTGCCGTAAATGAAAACCAGAAGGATACTGTAAATGTGTATTTGTCTTTAGCACTTACAACCTTTGTGAGTTTCTTGGTTACGTACAGTGTTTTCATTATTCAGAATTACAAATTTAAATGTAGTGAACTAGAAGAAATGCTGTGTTATCTGACCTGGTTATATCCGGCTCTGGTATAGGTGCACAGAGAAGCTGATTAAGAGACAGGACCATCTGCAGGCAACACTGCCATTGGCAAAGTATATGAAGATCGTCCAAGTTCAGCTTCCCGAGCCGTGCACCTTCCGACTTCATCTGTTTCAACTGCTCATACACGACCTGAGGGCCATCATACTGAAAGTCTGAAAATAACAAGTTACAGATGTAAACGTCTCACTGCAACTCATTTTCACAAACATCTTGAATGAGAATTCTAACCGACACTTTATTGTCTTTATATTTTTATTTATTTTTGTATTTCCAAAGACTTGGTGGAGCTTGACTACCCTACGATTCTCCTACAATGGGACCTTGGATCTTGTTTGGAGGTTCTAGTGGGGGAGCACAGGTACTCGTATACCCTTCACTCGAGGTTGGTTCTTGATCTACCAGGCATGGCCATCCTCTTTGACCGAGCATGGAGCTTCGGGAGGGACGCACTTGGAGCAGTGAGGGAGGAAGGGGACACCCGCCTAGCCACCAAGATTAGCCAAAACAATCCTAGCAATCAATGGAGTGACAGATGTCACAGCCAGATTGCCCTCACATCCTTCATTTGCTTTTACATGAAACTATAACGGCATATGGGGTCTTTGTATTTGGGCTTTAGTTCACATCAGAACTGTTTTACTCCCTGTGCAAGCCAACACATAAACAGCTTGAAGCTCGGTGATGCAACTTAGAAGCAGGTCAAACACAGGCCAGAAGGGGGCAACTGCAGATTAAATGGATTTATCAATTAACACTGAATGATCTCAGAAGCGTCTCAAATGTATCTCCAATGCAAGAGGAATGCATCTGAAAGTAAGCTACATTTGCACATCGACTCCAGTCCGTGGCGTAACTAGTGACCTCAGGGCTCCGATGCAAGAATCCATGAAGGCCCCCCCCAAGAAAAAACAAATTATATATATGTTTTTTTGAAACAAAATTTAGACAAGAAAAAAAAACAAAAAAAAAAAACACTCTCCTCTTTCATGTCCCCAGCTCCTCATTATCTCCCCCTTCATGTCCCCAGCTTTCCGCTCCCGGACCCCATGTCACCTTCCTTCATGCTTCCAGCTCCCTGTCTCCCCCTTCGTGTCCGCAGCAGCTCTATTCGGCACTGGGCAGCAGTTCTGTGTGATGAGGGGGCGGGGATTACACCGCTCCCACTCATTGGCTGCTGCCCGGCTAGATGATGCTTCACGCTGCGCCCGGAACAAGGTGAGGGGAGCAGCGCGAAGCATGTAGGGCCCAGGACAGGAGGAAGAGGTCCCGGGAATGACATTTGCGGTTACCGGGATAATAAATATCCTGGTAATCAGCGGTCACCAGGGGCCCCTTGCTCCTGTCCTGGGCCCCCTCCAAGTGGCAGAACTCCAGGGCTCGTTGCGACCTCTGCGACCCTGGTAGTTCCGCCACTGTTTTATGCATGTCCAGGCCCAGGACATGCATAAAACACCACGGGAGCAATTGGGATGGTGCCACTGTCATCATCAATATCTACCGCACATGACCTTCTCTCTGGCTTTATGACATGTCTTGATTAATTACTATTCTATGACATGAAACATATTGGGGGGGATTTATCAAAACTGAAGCAGACAAAATCTGGAGCAGATTTGCACTGCAGCCAATCAGTTTCTCTCTTTCATTTTCAAATCTTACCTGAGCAAACTCGGGCGAGAAGCTGATTGGTTGCCATGGGTAACTGCTCCAGATTCTGCCTGCCCATGTTTTGATAAATTCCCCCCACTGTATATTCATGCTCCATTAAGACCTCACCCAAAGGGGGAAAATTGGTCTGGCTGCAGATTCCCGTTGCAAGAATCACAGGTGGTAACAATGACAGGCTGAGAGTGGCAGTAGCTGTCCTCCTGTGTTAGGATGTAATGGCACATGGAGTAATTACCTGCAGTTAGGAATAGATGATCTACCTTGGAAGCCGTTTGTGTCCAGCGGTGCTCATCCGGAACTAACCGCGGTTAATCACTCTATGTGGCATTAAATCAGAAGACTGGCAGACAGCTGTGACTACTGTTAGCCTGTCATTGCTTTGTACTGTCACTTTGCTCTCTTGTCCTATCAGCATAAGTCTTCTCCTGTGCTTACTCTTCCTCTGACACTCCATCCCTGCTGCACAGCGACTGCAAAAGACTGGTACCAAGTCACATTCAGGTACTTTTGCTGCTTGCAATGAAAAACTATATTTCATGAAGTATTACTGATTACAGAGCTGCTGGCCACTTTTAGATTCAAAATAAAGGAAAACATCTGGTTACATACCAGGCCTACTCAAATTGTCATAGATCTCTCCATAAACAATTCCCATTAGGACAGCCTTGCAATGATGCATTTTCACTTTTGGCTCCGCATGTCTGATCCAGTAACAAACTGCAGCCAGTGTTAGATGGTGAGCTGGAGCTACGGACTTCAGATCAGTCATTTTCATTTCGATGGTCCGTAAGAGTAGCTTTAATCTTATGGACCAGGGGAGCTGAAAGAAGAAAACACAATTTTCCTTTTTTAATATCAGATCTATATTCTTTCAAAGTACACCAGAATGGATTACATTCATTTATATGAGAACGTACTGCCATCAAGACACTTATGTGTAATGTTAGCACACAAGGCATCAATACAAATGTACTTTATTTGGATGTCAAAGGCTTAGTTTGCCCAAAACAAATATTAAATTAAATATTTCATGAGAGCTATGTGGAGGCTGCAATAGATAACCTCATTCTAAAATTGCTTGTTGTCAGGTAATTGTATAGAGCCAGCAGTTCTGAGTAATTGCTGACCTGGGAATAGAATGCTGATCTGTTATGATAGAGTAAAATTAGGCTACTAACATGGTCAAGATGGAGGATCGCAGGAGGTGACGGCTTTACAGAGAAGATCTCCTTTAATGTGGCTCTATCACTTGATAAAAAAAAAACAGATAAAACTGCCACGAATTATAAAGGAGAAGCCTGTGGGTATTTGCTGCAGCTGTCACCAACCTAAAAACTGCAGGTAAAAGTACAAAAAAAGCACATATTTTAAATGCTCACTTGCCGTGTTTTTCTTTTCCATAAATTATTTTTATCATTTGCAATGTGGCTTTTTAACGTGCTAGCAAATTTGATTCAAGTCAATTGCAAAACCCAGCCCCCTCCCTCCTTGCATAGCCCTCTCCTCTTCTGGGAGTGTCTAATTACTATCTGTGCTGGCCCAGTTCCTCCACCCCTCACCCCCCCCCCATATAAATGTTTTATGTAGCTGCTGGGAGAGAAGCAAAGTGGAACTCTATAAAATATCACTTGACAGCTCTGGGTCTGCTGGAGTTGCTGACATCACATCTAAGATGGCAACACCCAACAGCACTCTCAGGGCTTTTAGATGTCCACACAAATGCCGGCTTTAATGGGTAAATACCATGCCTAAAATACATTAAATGAACACTTCCAATGGAAAGATTGTTTTTGAAATCAATGGCCCTGTGACAGGTTCTCTTTAAAAAGCAGAATACTATGGTACTCAATAAAGTTTAAAATTTTAGGTTTTAAAATAATAGCTCTAGTACCTTACCCTTGGAAGATTTTGAAGTGTAAGATCTTCATTGCTGTCTTCAGAAATTAAACTTATCTCTACTCTGGATCTTCTTAGACTAGTCTCCAGTCTGTCAAACTCTTCAACAACTGTCTGCTTAGTCTGCTTACTTCCTTGAAGCTCAGGTTGTGAGCTCTGGTACATGTTTAGTAGTAGTGCATAGATAACTTTACGAATAGGCTGTGCTATGAAGTGGGCAGTCATCCTTCGAAAGTCCTCAACCTGCACATGAAGAAACACCCTCCTCAGCACCAAAGCATCACTCAGTAATGGAGAGAGAACGCCTTTTGCTAAAGCGCCTTGCACCCAATCGGGCAAGTTTAGCTGCACTGCAGTGGGAGACACATACAAACCTCCATCAAAAAACTGCTCGAGGTTGACTGTGTCATAAAGGTTATATTCTTCCATGGCTGAATAAAGGAGCTCTCTGACCGACTCCCGATCCTTCAAGTTAAGATAGTTCAGCACGCTCTCCACGGCTTCCTCTACATCTGCAAAGCGAGACAGCCAATGTAATAGGCCTTGTATCCGAACATGTTTACGGCCGCTGTGACTTATGTTTCCTATCGGCAAATGAACCCTACTAAAAAAGATCTCCAAAGCCGGCAGGCTGATGTAGTCATTGCCACTGAGCACTGCAAAAAGAGGCAGCAAAGACATATTCAAGTTGTTAAAATAGCTGCAAAATCTCTGTGCTGAGAAACTGTGCGCTGGTATATAACACTCGTGGCTTTCTTTCATGGTACCAATATTTTTCCACTGAAAGGCATTTTGGGGGCAATAGCCAGCCTTTATGTCATAGATACAGAAGTCGCTGTCAAAGGTCAGCACGGGGCAGTTCCACGAGTTGGCTAGTGCAACTATTTCCCTATCGGCTTCTGAGAAACACTGGACAAATGGCACATTCAGCTTTCTTAAGGCCTGCAGACACACCTGCCTTATCAGGAGAGGAATCAAGCTGCCACCTTTCCCGGTGGACAGCTTCTCTGCCATCTTTATTTTGTCTCTGAAGCGTTGCTTTAGGGTTTCTAGTTTCTTATCGGATATATCGCAGCCTCCGTCAAACAAAACATAGGCTTGTATGTTACACATGGCCAAACTTTCAAAGAATTTATTAAGCATGTCAGTAAATGCGTCATAGTCTCCGCCATGCACAAGGTCCAAACCAGAATCGAAGTATAAGTTGTAGTATAGATTGTTTCCATCAATAATTAGTTTTGTGTTTCTCATCTGCACGTTGTTGAAGAAGTTTCTGTTAGACCCCACAAAGCTCATTAATCCCTGAATTCCCATTCTGACAATTATGACAGGCTATGATCTGGAACACAGAAAAATGCAGAATATTAACAATACCTACATAGACTTTGTAATCTATGCAGGGTCGGATGTACACTTCCTTTACCCTATTGTCTTGTGCTGCCCCATTCCTACCCCAGCTAGCAGTGATGTGCGTAGGCTTGGTACAAACGTACTTTGCCCAAACCCACGCAAAACTGCGAGTGACACACCTCCCTTCCTGGCCCAATCAGCCACAGACAGGGCATTCCACACTACATGTAAAGGGGCAGGGAATGCCCGGGCCTCACACGATGGGGCAAGGGGGGTCGTGTGTGCTTCCAAGCCCATTAATGTCACTAATGGCTAACCCAAGCATCACACAAAAAACATGAGAAGTTACAGCAGTGGAGGACTAGGAAGCTTTGGAATGGAGAGCAAACCTAATCACAGTATGAACACCTTCACAGCAATTGGTGGACATGACTTGTTGTGACACCTTATCGCATATAAATGATATGTATCCATTAAAGTGGAGTTTGGATAAGATAATGGGGGGAATTTATCAAAACTGGAGCAGTTGCTCAGAGCAACCAATCAGCCTCTCTCTTCAGTTTGTTCAGTTAAGTTTTGAAAATGAGAGAGAGAAGCTGATAAGTTGTCATGCACAGCTTCTCCGGATTTCCTTTGCTCTAGTTTTGATAAATCCCCCTCAAAGTGTCAAGTGTGAGGCACTTTATTAGTAAAAACAAGATGCCTGCTGCTCTGAGAAACTAATTACCTACTCACCTAAATAAAATAACATGCCCTTTAAAGTGAATAAATCACAATTCTTGCACATACTAATTAAAGTGAACCTATCAGTAAAACAGAGGCAGCCATTTCTGATTTGTCCATCTAAAGATGCTAGTTATCTGGCTGTCATTCTCACTACAAAAGATGTAGCCAGTGATCCGGAACAATTATGCAGCTTAGAATTTCAGAAATTCTTGACTTCCTAATCTACATACTTGTATAATGTGACATCAATTATCGTATTGAAGACGGAAGGTTGAGATTTCATTTTCAGAAGGAGGACAGCAATGGCTGCCCCCAATGTCACTATACCAGCTGCTGACGAGACTTGCGCTTACTAAAAGAATAGAACAAATACTATCAAATCTCTAGTTAAGGTCCAGTCTATACTGTTTTCCATTGCAAGTCTGGGTGAAAGGGTTATCTGTGGGCTCCCAAAACACGGTGGCTTTCTGACATTTACTGGAATTAAATAGTATCTGGACTATTAAAGTGACACTAAACTTAGCAGGTAAAGGAGAACTATGGGGTAAGTGTTTTTCCAAACTAGCGTCCTCCCTTCACCCAAAGCTCAGTATACCGCGAGCTACAGCTCGCGGTATACTGAGACGCTGCAGTGGCGGGGAGGAGGTGCGGCGTGTGGATGCGAGCGGGTCTGGCAGCGGCGAGCATGAGGTGGGGAGGAGGTGCGGCGCACAGCATGTGGAGCTGTGAACAGGGCCAACTGATCAGAAGCCGATTAATCGATTATTGAAAAAGTTGACAACTTTTTCAATAATCGATTATAATCGATTATGTCGATTAGTTGTTGCAGCCCTACTCGCCTCATAGCTCTACTTTAAACATTAAAAAAAAGATGATTTGAGGATCTACAGCTGAGCGATACACAAATAAGATACATTATTGTTAATAGTTAAGGTACTTCTATGCATATTTAAGGTTTAGTGTCACTTTAAGCAGGGCTTTGGCACTTTGATTTAAATACTTGCCGTTTTTACACTACAAACCACGGAAACTGTGGAGATCCTCTTGGATGTGGAAGCTGCCAACCCAGTAACCAGTTTACCCTTTTTAGTGGATAGTAACACCAATAGGACAACATCACAGGTGCAGTGCTACCTTACCACTTCCTCTTGTACCTTATGTCTCTCTTGGCAGAATTTCTTTAGCCAATCAACGCAGAGACACAAAAAATCCTTATTGTGTGCTCTAAACTACAATAATATTTTTACTATACCATAACACACAACAAAATAGTTACCTGGTCACTCAATATCCAGTAATCTTCCAGGATGGCATGACCTCAGAGAGATGGCTGTCCCCCATTGCTGCTTTAGTCTGCCCAAAAAAAAAACCAGAAACGGGCATATAACACATAATTCTAACATTTTGTATATATGATTTCCCCCAGTTATCTTCCAGTATGGCATGCCCGTAGAACTGGACATGCCGAGGTGGTACTACAGCATTCATCTGTACCAAAGCTCTTCCCAGACAAGCCAAGAGATTGAAAATAAAGCAGCACAATCAAGAGCAGAAGACAAAGTTCCACATCAAAGACAGCGGCTACCTCAGAAAAAGGGGGATAGGCCAGCTAAAAAAAAAAAAAAAGTTTATTTTTGTAGATGATGACCCTGCCAGTATTGTGCACACAACAGGCACAGCAACATTGGCACCGCAGATCGGAATCTGAAGCAGAATTGGATTCAGACCCTCTCTCCTAAAAGAGAAAACACACTCATGCCATACTCACATAGCTAATAAAAAGACACGCACATAATTACAGGGCTGCAACTAATGATTATTTTCATAACCGATCAGTTGGCCGATTATTTTTTTGATTAATCGGATAAAAAAAAAACAAAAAAAAAAAAAAAAAACCCATCCTTAATCTAAAATAAAATACACAAATCCAGTGTTACAAACATCAATTTACTTCAGAATGAAACTGCATGCACAATTTTTTGCAATCGCACTGCATTGGAACGCACAGCATTGCGGTACTGTGCGTTCGATCACACTGTGTGTGGGAGGCGTGCTTGGGGTGCCATTGAAATGAATGGCACTGCAACGCACATCACACAGCAGAATTTGTCAGGCCAAAACCGAAAATGGCTTTTTTCCCGTCTCTTATACATTTTTTTTGAATAGCTTCAGCCAGGGAATGACAGCTGCCAGTGGCAAGATTCTGCAGAAGGCAGCTGAATGTAAATGCAGGAGGTAGGGGGGCTGGTATCCTGCTATTGGCCATTTCAAATTGCAATAGCAGGCTGGCTTTTGCACCCACCTACTGCTTGCTGTCCCCTCCTCCCAGCGTGGAGGAGAGATCTAGGGGATTCAATCAACTAATTGATGAAAGGGAAACCATTAGTCATCAGGACACACTATGACCCTAAACTACTAATAGAGACAAATGAACTTCCAAGATATCGACATTCCCATTTGGAATGAACACCTTAAGGTTTTTTCTAACATTACCTCCTAATGAAGGATGGGTAACAAGCTGTCAAAAAGATCAAAAAACGTGGGTCCCCAACAATCCCAAAAGAACAAGTCTACTGATCCAAGACTTGTATTATATGAATATAAAGTTTTGTTCAACAAAACAACCTCCAAAATACATTAAGAAACCCAGAAATGTAATTGGATGTCTTCCATTGTTCCTAAATTGTCCACTAGATGTCACCTTACCCCAACTCCATCATTGCATTATCACACAATGGACCTTGCACTATGAACACACAATCTGTTTATTTACTCTGCTGCTCAATAATGCAACAGCTGCAATAAATTAAAAAAATCTCTTAAGAAAACAAGTCAATAAAAATGCTCACCATGGTGAATTTATGGCTTTTGTATGAATAAGCGGACACAGCTCTATTTTTTCCTTACAATAGAAGTAAAGCCAAACCTTTTCTTTTCTTTAGTTCTCTTTTGGGTCAGAGGATTACATTTAGTAATCCAAATCCAGCATATAGTGGGCTTCTACCTGCTATATCTTGACAGGGCAGAGGGACACTGCAGCCTGGTTACCTGATTGACAGCTGGCTCTGCCTCTCTAGAGCCAGAGCCAGCTGTGTCCGATTCCTCCACCATCTGTTCATCCAGTGAGCACTGGAGGAACAAAGAGGGGAGGTGGGAATCCCTACAGGGAGCGGTGACTGGCAGTACCTGTTCTCTGCAGGGAGGAGATCGGGAGCTGAGCGATCATCGGTCACACAATCGCTCAGCTCTCGATCAATACTCTAAGTATTGGGAAGAGTACATTTTATGCTCCAAAAAATACTTTTCCTTTAGGACGCATATAGACATTGAACAAATATTTGTGTATTGGTCCGTAGTAATGCACAAAGCAGGGTTTTGGTTCTCTTGGATATATATATATATATATCTATATATACAGGGCTTGAAAAATCCACTCCTTTGCGACGAGATGACGGTGGGGCCCGACGAGCAGCTTCCCGGCTGTTGTAATTACACGGCCGGCCGGGAGCTTTACATTCAAGCGACGCCCGATCGCTTGTATCAGCAGCTGTCACTGCCATTGCCGGCCCCGAGATCCGCTGTGCCCGATGCGGCCGAGACTGGCACGACTCTGTGACCCCCATGTAATAGCAATAAAGTTGTGTGTAAAAAAAAAAAAAAAGTAATACTAAAATGAAAGAATCATAAAAAAATTTAAGTCTCCGCCCCCCACATACACACGCAGATATGCATCGGGTGCGCCTACGTGCGAAAACGACTATTGCGCCGCACATGTTAAATATCGCCGCAAATGTCGGAGTGAGAATAATAATTTTAGAGCCTTAAATCACTGATGACACTAAACTGATGAGCAGTAAAAGCGTTTTAATCGTCGCCTATGGCCGTTTTTTGTGATTTTAAGGCTTGACATGTTTGGTGTTCATAAATTGCAATGCTATAGTCCGGTCATGCTGACTGGTGACCTTACCCCTAGCTTAAGCCTGCAGCACCTGGCTGAGAGTGGCATCACGCTACTTCCAGGGAGATCCCGCGTAATGCTAAGTAGCCCAAATCTTGCAAAAACATGGTTCTGCATTGTGGGGAGACATCACCTCACAAAATTTGGCTCCAAAAGTGGAAGTACGCTTTAGGATTCCTCTTAGAAAAATACCCCTGCAGTTAGTTTAACTGTGCTACCAGGGGATGCCACAGGATGCACTTGCACACTATTAAAGCACATTAAACATAACAAATTCTGT